AAAACAGGTCACGAGCGACGAAGTTGCGAAATAAATTATCGACTTTGACAGAGTTTGCGAGCGGGGCGAAGCGACGTCGAAAGACTTCGACAAGAAAATGGATAGCTACATACGAGAATCGATTTAATTCAGGATGCACACATATAGAATAACTCAGGAATACGTTATCAGCGCAGTTAATTACGCGCCATACTTCATTCTTGCATCTTACTCAGTTTATCATGATGTTACTATACGGTAACTGTCTGTCGCATATTACCCGTTATGACTTTCCGTTATGACCGTTCTTAATATTACTCATTATATTACATAATGTACCGTGTGGAGGGAAGTTTGTCCCAACGTAATAGAGATCCAAGTAATAGATCCACTCGGCGTCTCTGCTGTGACATAATAGAAATGTATCACCCTATGGCGAATTTCCGCCGCGAGTTATATTGGACATGTGTACTGAGAGATCCCTTAGGAAAATTAGACAGAGAAATCCTAACTCGCGAGTGTTAAGACTATAAGAGAACTTTTAAATAGGTAAAGCCGCCGTCGAAATCAATACCAAACTAAAAATATGGAATTAATATCTGAGAACTTTCGTCTATTTTTAACACATGAATTAATAATTTACAAATGATATTGACATAACAATAATATTTGTTAAACAAATTATTTTTTTTCGTATACATGTAATTATTAAATTAAAGAAAGAGCCATTATATCACGTTAAATTCTATAGTTCGTACTTAACGATATCTTTACTACTAGGCGCAGTAGTAAAGGTGTAGTATTGACCCGCCGACTCTCTAAAACGCTTGCAATCGCAAAATTGTTATATATCATATAATAACATCAAGGTTTCTATATTAAATTTCTCATTAATTTTCCTGAGAAATATGTCACAAACGGGACATATTGCCTGTCACATTTAGTTGAAATATTCGTCCACATAGCACAATATATGTATAATATATATTTACACACGATGGAAAATGCGCTTAATGGAAATTCACACTGGACGAAAACTCGTTGAACTCGACGAGATAAGCCACCGCAGCATCCTAGTTTGTTCCATTGAATAAAATCTGATGCTCCGCGCGATATGTGTGCGCGATTCATGTTACGGTCTGCGCTGTTAAAACTATCTTGCAAGCGGAAACAGCGCCTGTGCAGCTGTTGAGGACCACTTTATCCAGTAAAGTCAGTATAGCAGCTTTTATAGGAATTACTCGCTGAATCGCAGCGTGAAGTGGGGGTCGCTTCAACATAAGTAAAGTGTACACAATGGATTCATCGCGGTATAGCTGAAATCCTAACACTGCTCGCGCCGCTTCATCGAATTAATCTTAGTCTACGGGCTTTTATCGTGATCGTGGGAATCGTGAAAAATGATCCTATTTATTTCGTTTAAGACGAGATCTATCAGACGATGCGCTTCAGATTTAACTCGAGCCGTGATATGCAAGAAAGATTTTCATTTATTACGCTGTGTCGTTGAATATAATTAACGGAGTGCATTAGAATAATTAAAAGTGCTAAACCGTGCACGATAAAGACTTTTATAAGCAAGTTTGGATTATTCATTACTTTTATAATGACGCGATTCTTAGATGCAAAATGTGAGGTAATTTTTTAAGCCGCCCGTAAGAGTCGGGCTTGCGGAAATAACTGACAGGAGAAATTAGCATGTAAAAGAGTAGCATATGTGTGTGGATTATAGAAAGGCGCAATGGGGGAGGGAGGGGGGAGGAGGAGAGGCAACTCCAGCTCACATTCCGCACGTTTGTCGAATAAATTATATGATTTCTAATTAAGTACGGTTAAAGTGCCTATTAGAGTTAGCTCGTTAATCACTTCCCCAACGTAAGTGACATTTTTCCCATGAACCTACGTTCATACGATTTCTCGCTTTGCGTTCTGCGCGTGCAAATCTCATCTATATAAAATACAGTTTTTTAATGAAATAAAAATTTTCGTTATTTCTCATCGCTTTTTCGCGCAATTAAGTACACGTGAGTCGTTAATTTTGTCCGCAACTAATTTGTAAAAATAATAGACGAGCGTATTAATGATCGCGCGTATTCCAAATGTTATCTCGAGCTTAAATATCAGTTAAGAAGAATCAGTTTCCTAAAATATCATTCACCAAATTTCATTTTTGGACAATAAGTAATTTTTAATATTAAATGCATATTGCGCGAACTTTGCAATTTCGCGGAAGCAGAGTCCAATGCACTCTAATCGCAATAAATATTTTATGATTATTATCCCATCGATAGCAATCTACTATCGCAATAATTATCATATTGTAGCAATTGTACGACCGATTGCACAATTACAATCTGTGTTGCTGTGAATAGCAAATGCGAGCTCGACACATTACTATGAGTTTCATTATTGCTTTTCAGATTCTAATTTCATTTCTAGGGCATTTTCCACGCGGCAAGAAATATCCCCGTTCCATTTATCGGCGAACGTTACGTGAAGAATACATTTGCTAAACATACAACATACTTTTAAATTATTGCAGTTTGGACTATTTGTCATTTGTCATTTTGGTATTTCCGGTGGGAAGGGCGCCTTTAACCGGAAACTTTCTCCGGCACCCGGTGCTGCGGGATTACCAGTCTCGCTATTTCCTCGTAACTCGTCCGAGCTTCTTTCATACGACGGGAAAGGGGCGAGGAGACGAGTTGGCTGCGCGACCAATTTTCACGGCGCGCGACACCGGGACGAGCTCGCGTATCTCATTGCAGTAAGCGGATGACCCAATTTCGTAACAATGCACCCCGCCGGCGTGCGCGCGAATGAGACGCAAACAAACACGAAGCGGGGCAGAGAAAATGGAGATGGAGAAGGCGGGTCGTTTTATCGTCGAGCTGCAGTAAGCGAATACTGCGGGTGTTCCGCAATTTAGACGGGCACATTTATGAGCGCCACCGGTTATTTATATTTGCACGTTTAATGTGAAGGAAAATTCGTCGGCGACTCGCGTTTCGCACGTCGAACGCGGGACTCATTTCGCTACTCATTTGCTATTCACTCATCACGTAAACGCGCAGTCGTGATTCCCGCAGCTGTCATCGGAACGAAAGACAGCGGATAACTTCCGCAGAAGTCTGAAAAGTTACGGGCTCGCGCGCAGACGATAACGGAGAGTACCGACGGCGCAATTTTAATTTGCAAAACTACTCCCGCCGGGAATATGCTCGCCGGAATAAAGCACTGCTCCCAAGTGAAATAGCGTCTCCGAGAGGTGAATATGCATTTATGTTTGCGTAGGAAAGTCCACGGAAGGCTTAATTCGCGTCCGAGGACGGAACGGAGCGGCGAGAGTACAAAGGGGGGGAGAGAGAAGGGTGAAAAGGGGGTGGGCTCGCACACACAACCCGCGGTTTTACGTGCTCGCGTGAGTCGAAATTCATGCGGCGCAGGAACTGATATTTCCCAGAAAATGAATCACCCTTATACAAACGGACCGACACACTGCGGTAACAGCGGCACAATAGTCAGACAATAGCAAAAGCGCGGGGCGGTTGCTGCGAGCTCGTAGCTAGCGAAAAGGGGGATGGATACAGGGCAGCGGTAGGATGGTGGCGGAGAGTTCAGCGGAGGGACGGAGGGAGTTACGAACGCTCGGGAGATGCGCGCGACGAAGGCGGGAGATCTCTCTCGAACCGTCTCTCTCGCCGTGTGTGGGTGAATAGATGGACGAAGGGTTAACGGGAGGGAAGGGCGAGCGAGGAAGGACGGAGGGTCGAAACTGCGTTCTCCAGACGGAAACAGGATGAAGGTGCGCCTTTCCGCGTACAAACCGCGGCGCCGAGCCACATCGCCAAACAACCGCGCAAATTAAATAACCCACATCCATTAAAGGCGTTGCCGTTACTCTTTCGGGCTCATACCTGGTTACCGTACACTTAATGTCTAATTAACGTATTACGCAAATCGGCTGATAACCGAGCGAGCGAGCGCACGTGCGAACGCGGGTCGATGATTTATGATACACCTGCGCTCGAAAACGTCGTTCACGGCCCTATTCGCGTTCAAGTTGGAAAGCATAAATTTTATTCAACGGAAAAGAGGATTAATCGCTTTTGCCCGTAGTGAATTAAATTTAACCATCGCTTTCGCCCACAGAGAATTAAATTCCAGATAATTCTTACATATGGCGGAAAATATCCCTGTTGTCGGTTTTCGTCAAATTGATACCTAAAATTATTCTATATGTATGTAGTGGAGATTTTATATTTTTCCATTTTTAAAAATATAGATGACATATTTACCATAAAAATAGTAACAACGTGCTTATAACCGAAATAAAAAAATATGCGCATAGAGCAATAACAAAAATAACTACAGAAATATTATGGGTCATATTTTTACAAGAAAATGTGCCCAAAAAAAAGCTCACTGTGATTGCAAGACTAATATTCTGTACGGTATGTTAGCTAATAATAGCTGTTTCATTTTCTTACGCTACCGTGCCAAACAAATTACGCGTAATGATTTAACTAAGACCTATATCTTCAAATATATTTGACACAAACATCTGATAAAAATGCTTTGTATGCGAGAAGCGTAATCAAACTGTGTAATCAAAAATATATTCCTCCGCAAATATAACACAATTATTTGTAATTAAACCAGGTAATAAATATAATAAATATACGAGTTGCTAAATCTCTGCTGATGATGAATATGTATTAAAGTACAATTATATCAAGCTACTTATATAGAGCTACTTGTAACATTTTGCTCATTTAAAATCGAAACAGTCGATCCTTTCATGTGTTTCTTCGTTACTTATCTAATGGAAAACTTTTTTCCTAAATATATTTTTACTAGTTTTGTATTAATATAATTTTTATATCTAACGTAGTGCATAAATTATAAATTGCAGCTTAAATTATATAACAATAGCAAAAATAAAAACCTTTTTTTTATATATTGCATCTACAATTATAATAATTATCAATGAATAACTAGTATACATAGAAATATTTCACTATTCTTCACTTATCTCTAAAATCTCGAAATTTTAAATTATTTCTCGTGTTTTAGAGATACTTTTTTCCATAAATATAAGAATGAAGCAACGTATCTAAATTTCAGTAATGCAATGATTCATCAGAAACGTTTCTTTTCACGGCGCCGTACGTTACATGCACTTACACATACATATACTCAAATGATAGTTCCTTGATGTTCATGAAATTTAAAATCTATCGACCCGTTATGGCAACTAGATTCTCACGAGATTGCTCCTTTGAGGTCTGGTCAATCGCGGCGTCACTCATGGTCCTGGTTTATCAAGCTGCCCTTCACTCTCTTGCAAGGCTTTCATGAAATTTAATAGGTTATCCGATATACTCTTCGCTTTTTCATGTCAAGTGGGTTCATAAGAAACAAAGGACGCCGACGCTAACACATTTTTGTTCCAATTCTCTACTGCCTCTTATACAATTTTTTGCTGCTTCCTTTTTGTTTTGCAAGATTTGATTTTAATCGCTTAGCATCGTCTGCTATTGAATATCAGTAACATTGAAAAACAATTTCAATTTCATAAATATCGTGAATTTTTAGGCGTCATATTTTTCATTCGACTTCAAAGCATATTTCTTATTTTATAATACATAATTTCCGCATACGAGCAGCTTGTTTTAGTGAGTGATAAAAAGAGTAGGACAAAAAGAGTGATACAAATTACACTTATTCTTATTAAAAGCTTGTCAAAATAATTGGATCAAATTCTTTCATCTATGTCTGAATGGCATCGTTGCAGATCTTGATTAACATAATTCAACTTCGAAAACAAGCGAAAACAAATAATAAGAGAAATGAGACATCATTATGTCACTCACAATTATCTCAAAGAGAAACGGAGAGTTATTTATATATCGTGCCTATATATTATTTCCTGCGGAAATGATACTACCAATCTCGTGTTGCATCACCGATATCTAATAGCCATCTCCTTATTCATCCCGTGTAGCGACATAAAAAAACACAGCATTACAGAGGCGAGGTCTCTTCCGCTTTTACGCTTGCTGGTAGGCGAAGCGCTTTACGGGAAAATTCAATAGATAGCCGAGCGATGGAGGATGTTGTAGAGATTGTTCCGTTGCGCGTGATCTATAGGAGCGCCGTGGCCCGGTCTACCCCACAGCCTTTTCCAAGTATCGAAGTGCTTGCGACAACTCTCCTGTTCGATCCGTCGTTCCTCCTAAAACAGGATCAAAATGCAGAATAATTCGCAACTTGCGCGAAGCTGAAAAAAAAAGGTAGCTGAATAAAACCGAATAATCCACTTGTTGCGAAGTAGAATAAAAAGAAATGTGAAAATAATACATTTCTCAATCAGTTTAATTTTTACGCTAACTTTGCTTTTCTCTCAGAATTAATAAATCCCACCCTTGTGCGTGATTTCATTATCTCCGCAGCATCCGTATACGCACGCGTAGTCAATTCCATTCAACAACGCACGGTTCGACGGCAATGAGATTGGCGAGAGATCGATACAATTAATCCCGTTTCGAATTACCGTGCGGCACCGCGCGATCGTCATCGATCATAAAGCACTTACCAGCGCTCTGTCCCGTTTACGTCGTATCTGCTCGGCGAGATCCGAGATGTATTCTCGATTGCCGACGTCGAGCGCGCGCAGCCTACAAAAGAAAAGGAGACTCTCATCACACTCAGCTTTCATATCCTTTCTTTGTTCGACACGGCGCCGCTGCCGCGGAAATGATAAAGGTACGTGCGTCAAGTAGGGATTATAGGAAATAAAGGTTCGAGAGAGTAGTAGCGCTATTTAAGATAACGTGAATGGTTGGCCACGGTTTTTTGTGCCAACTATTTAATACCATTGCAGACAGAAAGCAAAATTGGAATATGAGGAACTGACAGAGGGATTCTTGCATATAAATAAATAAATTTGATTGAACATAAAATACTCTTTTCAGTTAAAAGCAAGAGATATCTTTCAAAGAGGTATTTCTTCATTCACGATTAAAAAGCGAAGACATAAAGTCCATTGAAATGATTTGAAAATAAGTATATAATTTATATATTAAACCGTGCAAAGTTTTTTTTCACTCATCAGAATTCGCTTATGTAATTTTTATATTCTATTAAAAGGATTTCTCGATTTCTGTGTTCGATTATTGCATTCCTCAGTCATATTTCGGAAATAAGAGAAATAACCAAAATTGTATTATCGTTGTGAACTAAAAATCTCACCGGTGATTAAATGCAGCGGGTAGACGATTTATCCCTGCGTTTCGGTGTTGAACGTTAAATTAAGCTAACTGCCAGATGCGGAAAAAAAGCTTTCCGTCCGAGCGGCTCCAGCGTCATCGATATGTTCGATACCGCTTTGAATAGTCTTTAACGACTCCGCGCTAATAACTGCAAATACCCCGCATAGCGCACTCAGAAACGCATTCAGATCAATCGAATCGCTATATCGATCTTCGCATGTCACTAAATAAATACATGCCCGCAGTACCGGGCGTTCTATGTTGTCATTGCGAAAAAAAAAACATAAAACAAGATTGAAAAAGCCCTTTTTTAAATGAATAACGCTTTGAGCTCATTCTATCGTGTTTTTTTTTCACAGCGGATTATTGCCGCACACGATGACAGATAATCGAGGGTGATTAATTACTGCAGGCGCCGCAACGTTTGGATGTCGGCTGACTGTGTTATAAACAACGCGACGCCTCTGGTACGCAACTTTCGTACGCTATTCCATTAAACGTTATCAAAGTGTCTCGTTACATGTCAGGCCGATGCTGCTTGTGCCCGCGTCCGGCGTTACGACCGTTTACACGCACGGTTATCGAACGATAAATCGGCATTATCCTGTCGGACGCAACGCCAGGGAAGAGTTACATTATTTACTCTACCAGATTAATAGCGAATTTCATGCGTTATAAAAATATTTTTACAACGTTCGAAAGAAGAACGGGCGCTTAAAAACTACGCTAGTCCACGGTTCCAATATATCATAGATTCAATTTAAGATATTATAACTGCACAGTAATGTATGAGCAGAGCTTGTCATTTACAACTTTAAATTGGATTGCTTTAGAAGATCCATTTTTACTTGCATATTTATTCAGTCTCGTTTAAAATAAAAATGCTGATGATCATATAACGTATAACTAATATAAGTGCGCTTTCCGAAGAATTTTTATGCAAAAATAAAAGAAATGAGATTATCATACGAAAGCAAAATTTTATTATGGTTATCTCAGAATCAAGTTTCTCTCGGTAGAGGTATAACATAATTTCTCTAGAGAGATTCACATTTTGGTTCTTTCTCCGAGAAATTTTACAGAACAAGAATATTCGTGAAGAAACACCGGGATCTAATATATAATATTTATGCAGTGAGTTTACGTAAAATCTCCCAATTGGGTATTTTTAAAGAAGATACTCGATGCTTCAAGAGGTGAATTCTTCGTAGAAAAATATTCTTCCGCGGTAATGACGGGAAATTACGTTGATGAATATCTGGAGCGGCGCTAACACACAAGGGAGGAAAATGAGGGTGAGATTGAGCTGGAACGGACAGGTGAAATGGTCGGGGTCGAGTGCATCCAGGTCAATTGGTTGATTACCTGTAATGTAGTTACATCCCCCGAGTGTCGTATCACTACTAACCAATTCTACAGATGCCGCCCTGTCGCGTCATGTTTATCATACTTGCGCGATACAAGTGAAAAATCAATTGCACAGCATTCTAATCAAGGGCTGACATACTCCAAATGACAGAATACAACTATACAACTGTGTGAATTGTTACGCATATGTCACCGTGCTCGCGTCCCGAATTTTTGCTTTTTTTTTCTTGCTTATGTTTTATATGAAACTGCCAGACCTTCATGTCAGATTGTTAAAAAAAGAAAAAAAAAAAAAGAAAATACGTCGAGGAAAAAAAAAGGAGGGAGAAAATAAAAAGTGAAGAAAATGCAGGAGAGGATGTTACGCAAGCATAAGTATACACTCTGAAATATAAAATAGAAAACCAGCGCTGGAGAGGCACAATATGCATATTTGAAATATATATAGTAATACAGAACGTGGTGTTCGATTTACACGGTAGCGTCTAAAATTAGTTGCAGTTTTAATACTATGATGTGCACGTGTGTTTTTTATTGAAGCGATATATCAAACATTAAATTATCTCTCTGTTAAATATGTAATCAATAACACATTTTCACCAAGAAAATTATGGCAAAATAATAAGTGCTTTTAATATCCACTAAAATGAGTAACGAGTAAATGTACATAATTACAATCGGTATTTATAATAATCGCCTCAATAGCTCTCTCTCTCTCTCTTTCTTTCTCTCTGCTATTTTTAACGTTTGCAGTTTATCACACAAGCGTGTATGATATAATATGCATAACATCTCAAGTAAATTAATAATAAAGCACAAACAAAAAGCGCTCTTTCTGTATTAAAAATTAAATTGAGTTGTAATTAAATTAGGATAAAAAAGTATTAAAATACGGTGGGTTTTCAATTTTTACGAATTTAGAGACTCGATACACATATGAAAACAACGAAACGTTTCAATTATTTCCCAACGACTGTATTATCGTTCGGATCGCTAACTTCATTCAGCAAACGATCAATCATTGGAAGCAAAGCAAGGTGATATTCACAGTCACCACTACATACATCCGTACTTACGATTCTATCGTATATCCCGGACGAGTGGCATCCGTCGCAAGATAGCGCGTAGTCTGTGGATGCGACTGATAGCGTCTGCTAGTTAACAAAGGTACTAATTCGACACCGCCTGTTAGCTCGTACACTTGAATCTCCTCGTTGTAGAGATTCCTCGAGTCCTGCAACGGTTGTGTTTCCGATGCGATACCTGTGAAGCGAAAGATCGTCACAGAAACAAGACTCAAGCTCCGATATCGGTGAGAGAAGCAAGTGGCAACCTCTGCTATTTACCTGACGTTGCCCTGTCATCGTAGAATTTATTCATGTCCGCAACAGCTAGCGGGTCTATGTTCCTCTTGTATAGTCTGTCGATCATCGAGTTACTCGTCCAACCCTGGGGCAAATCAAAGCTTTTAATTAAACGTTTCTCGTTTAAGCGTTTAAAGAAGAGAGTTTCATTATCGTTTGTTATATTTAACGCTGTTTCCGTTCTATGCACTTTAAACAAATACACTTGTTTTGTTGTTAATCATTTACATAAATTTTTATTAGATAATTTTAAAATATATATTGAATTGTTATATACACGCGAATCTCGTGATTTATATATATATATATATTTCAAATAAAAATCTAGAAGAAAAAAATACACACAGCGGCGATTCCAAATGTTATTCTATTTTTACTCAAAATGCTGTTCTTTCGACTTGTGTGATTTTTATTTTTAGAAAATTTCTTGTACAACAATCTGTACTATAAAAAATTTCACAGCGCCATTATTTTAATGCACAACGCAGAATATATCAATATACACATTGTAAGAAATTTATAAAATCAGGAGAAAATACAAAAGGATCAATGCTTCGTTCGCGAGCAGATCGGCCGCTTTGTAATTAGTAGTACAGTCGCAGTTTGGATCCGACCGAAGCCGAGTCGCGCGTTCATTCATCAATGTCGGTCTCGTTAGTAAGCGACTAGTTACAACGAACCCCCTCGGCTTATTATAAGGGAAAAAACACGCTATGAACCCGTCCATCATAAATCCACACCCGCGGACAGATACACAGCGACGAGACAGGAGAAGAGAAATACGCGCGCGCATTGGAAAGAAGTTGCAGATGTATACTTGACCGATAAACACGATAAGTGAAGGAGCTTGCGCGTAATAAAAAGGCGGTCGAAGTCAGAATGCGCTAATAAATTTCAGTTTAAACTTTCCGGTCGCGCTTAGAAAGGCGCCCGGGGAATCGTTCAATTAGCCGGTAACACGCGCTTCGGTTACGTGTGTGTTGCCGCATTCGAGGGACGGATAGAGTAGTTAATTAAAAATTAAGGACCGCGTGCTCCTCCAAACGACATTTGAGAATGCGCTTTAGAAACCGAAGCCTAGAGAAGTGTTCAATTACGATAGAATTATCACCGACTAATTTTTAATTGACTCTTTTGGTATCATCATGCATTTTCGAAAAGGTCAGATTTATATTCGCGAAACGAACGAATTACCGTACAGGCGATTGCGTTTAATTGATAACGCCACGCTTTCGCGTCAAGTGGAGCACGATCGTTCCGCTTCGCGAAATAAATCCACCGTTGCAAAAGTCATTGCAGCTATCGATCGCACCTCGTCGCGACACCGCGCAATTTGCACGGATTACACTATTTCGGCTGCGCGACGTCATTATCGCAAAAACTTATAACGATTTCAACAAATCATCCCGCGCGATCCTGTTAGACGAAGAAACTTTAGATTTATGTGTGCGTTATATGCGACCGAGAATTAGCCCTCGCAGCATGCAGTCCGTGCGAAGCCGCGAAATTGTGTATCAATTTCGGGCGAATGTCATCGCGCGCAGTTTACCCCGGCGATTAACTTACTCGATCTTGTGTTCGGGTAATGCGCGATCGTAATTTCCGTTTTGCGCGCGTCACCGCGCGCTAAGATAGTTAATTGGGTTTGCACGAGTATACATGTGACTTGTAAATTTACCCCGCGAACACCATTGCGAATAACGATTGATAATGTCATGCGAACGAATGCGGGATTTACGGGAATTATGTGCGCGGAATCGAATGCCAATCTTCGCGATGAATTTATATTTAATCGGCAGCGTCAGCGCCCAAAACTGACGCACGTAATTTCAGAAGCATCCACCTGAAACGCTGTTTATATTAATTGCATAGGAAAACGATCAGCATCGGCGATTAGAATCGCTTTTGATATTCCGTTTCTATCGAGCGCGGGCTATCGAATAACTAGAAAATAGGGCATGACGTTTTACCGGTGTTGCTCCACCGAAGAATAAAGCGGTACAGAATAATTCTACGAGAATTTCACCCGCGAAAAACTTCCCTCTTCAACCGGCCGTGCCTCGCCATCAGATTAGCCGCATTCGTCACGCGGCGTGCAAATAAATACGCGACTCCTCCCCGTCGGCCAATTTATTGTATTTACTGCTTGCAAAAAAAAAAAAAAATCCACTACGATTCGGCGCGTGATTTGGGTACAATTTAATTTCTTAGCAAAAACGCGCCTCCCTTCATTTTATGTATCTCCCGTCGCGGTATCGCTTTATGTAGTAAATTACACCGCGCGCAAAAAAAAAATGACCAGCCGCGATTTACTTGCGCTTCACCTCGGGATTAATTGCGCAGCAATTCACCATGAGGGAGTAGATAACTTTTCTCGTTTTAACGAGAACATCGAACAACAGATATCGTGTTTTGTTTCGCCTACGCAAATTTGTATTGCGCGCTCGTATGTTTTCGTGTTTTATATTTTTTTTTGCTGCTCACCCGTCCAAAAGTGCTTCTCCCGCGATTGATACTTTCATTCTTGATGATATAAAGAAATCAATAATTTTCTCGCCAAGTGAAATCATTTACCGATACGTACGTGATCCAGTGATGGAAACAGATCACGGCCGAACGCAGAAATAATTGAAGAGTTTCGTGCGATACGGCGCAGTTTGCAATCTACGAACAGCAATCACTTTTTCATAATTATGGGAAAAAAATGCGTATATATTATACGAATTCGGTGGGCGCATTGCGACGTATTTACCGTCGAAAACTGCGATGATTTTTCTTTAGCAAAAATACTGCTGATATAAATAATTTTAGAATCGAGCAATAAAAAAAACAGTGGCTTAGACGGATTAATCTGTGTGGCTCTGTAAATAAAATTCCTCGGCTAATCTTGGATGAACTTTAACAAGATCTGAGCCGTATATATCATGATGCTGCTTACATGTCAAAGGTACCAAAATCAAAAAAAAAAAATTTGTTAAATTAAGTTTTGATAGTAAAACAGGTCACGTCAATTTTTTCCGATAAAAATATTATCCAAATCCGCTTACTATCAAATATTATATATATATATATATATATATATATATATATATATATATATATATATTTTTTTTTTTACGATTGCTTTGATACAAATACATGGTATATTTATAACAAAATTGCAACGAGCAATTCGATTTTTTCATTTTATGATGTAACGTAATAAGAAGATTTTTAGATTAGCTTCTTATCACATCTTGGAAAAATGTATCAAAATGGACTTATCTCTCTCTAGCAGCGAACCCTTCAATTACTGTGACGTCTATAGTTTGCGACCCCTCGGGGCCAATGTTCGTCAATCTAACAGGGTTACTCGCGCAGCGGTAGAAAGTTTTGATGCAAAGTTGCCAGTACAGGGCCGACGCGAGATACTCCCATTCGCTGTGACAATGTAATTTCGTTATCGTTCCAATTGGTTTCTCAGCACGAGGGAGGTTGTTGCTTAAACGTGCAATTACGTAGAAATCAGTTCTCGAAAATAAAGCAAAACACCTTCTCTCTCTATTGTCTCCAAAATTTTACCAAACAGCAAGTAAAAAAAGTAATCTTTGACTACTGTTATTAAAAAATAGAAGTTATTAATATTTTATCTAACTTTAAAATATTATATAATATTTTCATCTTTTATTGTACATTAATTATTGAGTTATTGCTTCTGTTATTTGTTGTATTAATTTATACATTTTTTTCTAAAAATAAAATAACAAGTTTGTTTATAGCAAAGTAAGTTTATAGAAAGTTAATGCAAGTGATGTTTAAATTAACAGTTCCCATGGTATAACTTTAGCATCATAAGCATGTTCGGCACGTCGTGCGACGATGCGCTAATTGCACTGAATTATATGCCACTAGACTACGTCGTTATATATTGTCTCAACACTGAAACATATCTCTATCTACGCTATATATCGCACATACGCGACATGAAATTTCTGTGCCTTATTGATTTAGCAATTTGGAAGTGCGAAAAGGTCCTCTCTCTATGATGTACCGAAATAATCTATTTAACGTATTAATATAATATGCCGCGGTAACGTAATTGCGAAATAATCCCATAATTAAATTGCAGCAGGCAGTCGATTCAAAATCTAAAACCGAATTTAAATATTTTATTATTATAAAATGTGAAGTATCCTTTTCGTCCTTTATGTACTCAACTCTCTGTTATCCATTTTTAAAGAGAAAAGCACGACTTTGTGCTTCAAGAAAGGAGCTATGAATTCGTTTTTAGGTAGCGCCTGAATTAACATTTCGCGTTCTCATTGTATAATTGAAATGACGGATATATAGCCAAGTATATACATATATACTTGACGATATTTTGAGCGACATTTCTGAAATATTACGCGCACAAAGAACCGGCGAGAGCTTTGAGAATCATCGGTGCAACGCGGCCCGGATGATTAAGGATTCTCTTTCCGTTAATTAGCGCAACGAGACACCCTGCGAGGTATCCCTGCGTGCGATTAACCCGCGGCAAGGCGGATATGCGTACCATGGATTCGTGGAAGCGCACACCCAGCAACTTGGGATCCCTCCAAGGAGCTCCGCCAGGACCAGGACGCCCCCAGAACGGTGTAGGATGCACCAGCTAAGCACACGGCGCCGTCGCATATTAAGCAGTTTCCAAGGCTTGTTTCCTACCTACGTACGCACGCGAAATCGTGCCGGAACACGTGCCCGGCGTCTATATGCCGGCGCTCCTGTACACTCGCGCCGTCATACCCGGGGTCCTGTGCGCGGATCGCATTAGGACCTCGTCTGCATCCGATTAGCGGCTCAGTCTAATTTCTACCACCGGCACGTAATCTTGAAAATTGCGCTGCGACGGGGGATGTTTGCAAATGTTTATACACGTATGGCTGTGTGCCGATTTCTCGAACCGTTCGCCTCTTCTCGTGCAGTGAAACAAGCGTAAAATGGATTATTCGCCGCACAGCCATATTTAAGTAAAATAATAATTTTATATATAACGCGAATAAATATTTTGTAACTTCTTATGTTCTTTAAATCTGCTTTAATTAGGCTTGAGGCCGGTTTAGTTTA